AATATTTTAGAAAGAACGACGTAAACTAAAGGGCTGTAGCTGGCATTTCAGTTTCATGTTTTTTCGGGAATTTTTTGCCTCCAAGTGGATTTATAGATCACAAAACATCCACTGTATCTGGAAATTATGCATGCGCAAAAAAATCAAGGGATGATTCTACATGAAAAATGTATGTATCAAGTTCATCTGGCTTCGATATTTTCGTTTGATAAAATCGTGCATCAACTCCAAATGCTTTTAAGGTCCTGCCAATATATCTCAAAGTATAAGTAGGCCTGAACACTAATTCAATAACCTATTTATATTTAACCTTAAAGTCACTCTAAAAAAAGTAAAACATTTCTAAATCATGCACATAACTAGTGTATCTAGCTGTCGCCAAGAGAAAAAATGACAGCTTGAAAATTCACTGTGTTTAATTAAATGTTTATTTACCTCGACAGTCAGCTCACCATATGAGGTACTAGTGAAGTAAAAATAATTTAGTTTGTATTTATGAGATTTTGCCCTTATCTTGAATGCTCAAATATCCAATTATCTCCAGAAAAAAATGCGCTTTGCTTGCAAAATCATTGGAGCGCCAATAAATTTTAGTTTTTGTCATTTTACAGGAACAACTATAAGTAGCACATTTTTATTGCTTGCACAGTACTTAATTAGCTTTAGCTGCTTTAGAGCTAGTCAAAGTTAGAGATCCCAAAACTGCCACAAAATTAAGTATTCAAAGGCTTGAAAGCTTTATAATTAGAGCTGTGAAACTCTGTGTTGCAAGGGTATACTTTAAAGGGCCATAATAAGTGTGTAGAATAAACGGCCACTGCTTTTGGCATCAAATATTAATGCAAGGTGATTTTAAATGTGAGAACTTGTTATCGATCAACTCAATAAACTCGGTTTCTATTTAAAAAGCGGAAAACGGTGTATAAAATGTTATTGTTTTATTACTAAGCAGCAACTGCAAAAATGTTTATAATAATGCGTACTGAAACCACATCTGCATAACCGTTGAAAATATGACACACATTTTACTATTTGCGTTTATATTACAATATCAGCTAAGAGGCTATTTAAACTTAGGTCGGCCTAAAAAGCAGGCGTTTTTCAGCCTTTTTATCACATTTCTATTAAGGCTCTGCTTCAAACGTCCCGCACAACTAATATCCAAGTTGTAGTTATTGTAAAGCTCACCAAAATCCACCTTAATAGCTAGCTAAACGTGTCGATTATATAATGGACAGGGGGTCAAGCGTAAGCTTTCGTCTGAATACTTAGCTCATATTGCGGGAATTTCATCAAAGGATGTATAAATTGGCGATAAATCTGAGTTATAATGAGCGAAATAAACAAACTGAATACAGAAACTATAAAACACGATAAATGTCCATTCCTTCGAGAAAATACTAAATTTAATATGATACAGGCTATTAAAATAATCCGGAAATATGAACGTTAATCTGAATTATCGCAGTGATATGTTGTTTTCCCTTACCAGGAAAATCTCAGGAAATATTACCGCGATAAATTTCATACATTACAAGCTAAATCTATCGGAACGCTTAATAAACTTCCACGCAGTTTTACCTATTTTGTTGAGGTAACTCAACAAAATATTTCGATAACTAAAAACCGATTTTCATTTTATATTCATGTTGAAACGAGAAATAGGATTTTCGTCAAATGTTCATGGGTAAAACCTATTCAAGCCACTGAACTGACACACACTGAAAGATAATAGAAAACGTTGAATCAACTGAACTGCCAATAAACGATTTAGGCATTTAAATGAAAAATTTGGGGTAAAATTTCGTAAAAATTTACAGTAAAATTGTAAAAAGAAAATAAAAAACAAAATGAACAGTTCTCTTCGTTAAAAAAGTGTGTTCGAAAACAGACCATATTTTAAAGCTTCTTTAGATTTGAGTGCCCTTCGAAAAGCCTAACGAGCAATGTGAGCTAAAATATTCTATTCTATTCTATAGTTTTTCTTTCGCTTTATCTCTTTCGCTAATCATTTAATTTCATATTTTGCAAAACTTAAAAAAAAATAAATGCATGACGTAAAATAATAAATCAGGTTTTGTTTGGCGGAAATCTATTGGAAAAAAATATATTTCTCTCAGGATGAGATGAGATTTTGAGTTTTTCTGCGATCTTAGCTCGAAGATCTAGACGAATTTTCACTAGTCCTAGAAGTTTAAAGTTTTTCGTTTTTGGCATTAGTTGATTGGAAATTTAGTTGTGTTTATTTTCCACATTAAATACAGCAACTGTTTTCTCTTTCAAAGTTAATTTTTCGTATAGAATATTGCAAGCGAAAGAAAGTATTTCAACTGCAGTAAAGCGATGATTGCTTGCCGCTAAAATAAACTGAATAATACTGGAAAGGGAATTTCACAAATTATTTTTCAAAAAATTTAAATGCAACTTTCAATCGCGGTTTTATTTTCGTAGTCTCTAGAGGCGCCGTTTTTGAACTTTAATTGAATTAGTTAACGTGAATTTAAATTTGGTTTATTTTTTAACGTTTAAATGCAGCTACAAAAGGGAAACAAAACCAGCACTGAAAGCGAATCTATTTTTAAAACCCTTATTGTTTTAAAACGATTCATTTGGGCTTGAAGAAACTAATAATTAAAACATTAAATTTGCTTTTAATTTAAACAGTTAGTTGGTAGAAGGCCAGTTAATCTAGAAAATCAAAAATTTGCGAATGAAGGTGAGTACTTTACCTGCAGTAAACCGTTGCTTTTTCGATAAAGTAAACTAAATGACAATGTAAATTGTGCACTTGCAAGCAAAAAAAGCATCCTGTACCTAAATTAGAATTTTTGCAAAGGGGACAATTTTCCATATATTTTCGCTTATTTCCACTTTTTGAAAAATTAACATGATGGTTTTGATGACAAGTTCATTGACTTTTATTCTGATGTCTTCTAATACTTGAAAAAAATCGAATGCATTTCCTTCAGCAAAGCTTAATGCAAAAAAAGCCATAACAGAAACTAAAAACATAACAATTTCAGCATAAGATTGTGTTTTGATTTTCCACTTAAATCAGCAGAGAAGATCTCATATTATCGAAATCGTTCGCAGCGGCAACAAAACCTTTACACCAAAATGATATGTTGAACAAAATGTTATTTAAAACCAGCAAAGAGTAAAAAATTTACGAACACGGATCGACTTTATATTGAAAGGTCCGAAACCTTATAGCCGTTCATAATATATTTTATGGCACCATAAAGTTCAACTACATAATGCAACTTATCTGTAACGTTAGGGTATCGTTCAAAGAGACCATGAAGAATTTTGGGGTTTCATTTGTATCTACGTTATGTACACTTGCGAGAATTTGTTTATTACTACCAACACGAATATATTAAATTGTCTAGCATTAAAATCAGGTTAAAGCAATAAGAGTGAGGAATGAACCACGGGAAAAGCGTTCAAAAACGAAAATGCAATTAGTACTTTCCTTGCCATGTTGTTGGTAAATGAATGGCAGAAGATGTTTTCAAAGAGGCCGCGTTATTCACATGTGTAGGACGCACTTTGTTATAAAGCCGGCGGTTCTGTGTTGGCGCCATCGTTATGTATGGAATTTCTTTGCCGCTAAGTACACGTTGCAAATGTGCAGATATCGAGCTGAAATTTGGCACAAAAATCCGTCTCCAAATTTTCTCGGTTGAGGTTAAATTTGATGAATTTTAAATAGGGCTTATCCGCAGAAATTTAAAAAATTACTTCGCCTAAATGATAGTGGAGGAGTGTTTTTATTTTTTTTACATTTTTAGTAAAAAAATTAAATTAACCTTTTACAATCTTCTGTACTGGTTTTCTGGTAATGTTTCCTTCAAAGATGACGAAGTTTTAAATTCTATTAATACATAAAGCAAAAATAAGGCGATCATTCTGATAATTATAAGGTTGCAAATGGTGCGTTTTCCAGATACAGGGTGTATGTAACATTTTTTCAATGCTTCTCTAGGGCTTCGAACGTATGTCAGATATGTATCTCAAATTTGGAAATTTTGCGAAAAATTGGATGTACTTTTTTTAGACGAACGTAAATTTTTACTCGCTCTTTCTCGTTAATGGGCCAACACAAATATTTTGCTCCTAAACATTTGAGTTCCTTATTTAATGTATTATTTAAGTAATCGTTTCCCAATGATTTATGATTTAATAGTAATGGGAGCGCACGTGTCAATGGAAACTTATAATATGACAATAAACAGTTTTTAAACAACAAAATTAAACACAATTGGGATTAATGCTAGCTGAAAGACTTCGTAGACAAAATTACTGCGAACCTGAGTTTCTAAGGACTTTTACCTTAGTTTGGCTCGTAGAATGTGCATTGAAAAATATGTTAGTTTGCTACTAAAAAGATTGTTTTTAATTTGTTTTGAAACAATGGTATTGGAGGCGAATAATGAATCAACAAAAAGCAGTTTTGTATACTTTTATTGTGTCGAAGTGTTACATGAACTTTGGTTAGATAAAAAGGATTATGAAGCTTTCAGTGATTTTGTAAGAGGTTAATTGGAACGTTTGCTGGAATTTTGATTGAAAATTGATATGGAAAACGTGTAACTTAACACCAGTTTAATAACGTTTGATTTTTGAGGAATTATTTGGCAAGAGATAAAAAAACTGAACAAATTATACTGTTCATGTGAGCGTTTGAACTTTTTCTAGTACATGCTGCGGACAGTAAATTAGCCTTTTAACATTGTTCTTCCGCTAATCATTTCGCTTTGTTTCTGACTAAATGAAGAGGCCTGTTTCAAGCGAATTGCAAATTCGAAAAAAAAAATAATTGAAAATTAGCTGTTTGCATTTTTATTAAATGCATTTGTCTGTGGGCAGTGGAACATTTATTCAATTTGTAATTTAGCTGAGGAGAGGATGTAAGAATGTCGGGTAAATAAACACTTGTGATGTATCTACAAAACTATCTCTAATACTAAGTAGGTAGTAAAAAAGTTGTTGCATACCATGTGGTAGAAAAAAGCAGATTTGCAGAAAAACTACCAGCGTCAGAGCTCTTGGTCGACGGTAGAAATAACAATGCTGCATTCTGGTGAAGTGTGGGTGAGCAGAAGAATTCTTGGCGGCAGCGCAAAAGTTTTATAACTTTTTGACGTTATATTTTTAGGTTAAATTTGATTAAAGTCTCATGTTAGTTGAATTATTCTAATGGTTTCGGAACACAGAATATAAAAAAATACCAAAATTTGATATATTAGTGTGTTGTGGAGTCGAGCGATCATACACGCGTATATACCGAAATATAAAGTGCCGACAGAAGTTTTAGGTTATATCATTATATACTATAAGTGCACACAGATGTGAACTAAAGCCAAAGCCATAGCGATAGCGAGTCCGGACAGCTCCACGGCGAATCCGATGAAAACTGCGCTACGGCCCGCACTTCCCTCCCTTCAGCAAAGCACCAACCGCCAGTTACTCTGTTACATACAGCTCTCCTCCGAGTTTCGCGCTCATGTTCATAGCGACGTGACTGAAATCTCTTTGTTCTCCTCTCTCGCAGGAGAAAATCCTGGGAAAGTGCTAACAACGCTCGCACCATTCATTTCATCTGGAAAATGCTTTCCTCGAAGATCGAATATAGTGGTGGTGCATTTACCCATTTGCGGCTAGTTATCAACCAGCAACATTCCAAAGCATATTACTTCAATAAATTCTCATCAGCAGTCGAACGGATTTCTAAATACGGTGGCACCCCGCGAGTCAACTTATTTAAACTGTTTTCTCTATTTCTAATCTAATCATATGGAATGTTGAACAGGAGCTACTTCCCTCAATATTAATGCATCCGTTTAAAATAAACCAGTCACTAAATTTTAGGCTCTGCATAAAGATTCTAATAATAATTTTGGCCATTTAAATGTATCCACGTCGCACATAGGCTCTGGAAAAGGACACATTTTAAAGTCCAATAAAAGTCCGACGCTAAAAACGTTCTTTTAAACACTTTTCTTTAATTCCGAGAGGAATGAGGAGAGCATTCAAACGTTCCTCACTCCCTTCTAAAACCCAATTGATTTCTCAAAAAAAAACTTAAAGTAAACCTTGATAGAAACACATGATAGAGCTTAATAAGAAGAAAGACGTGCTTTATGAACTTTCATTTTCGTTCAACATGTCTAACTGTCCCACCTGGTCTCTGGTAAAAGTACACATTAAGTCCAGTCCAGCAAAGTTGACGCAAGAATCATTCTTATAAAACACGTTTTTTCTCAAAAAAACTGAGATCAAACCTTGATATAATAAACCATAAGACAGCACTTAAGAAGAAGTGCTTCCACGGGTTTATAAACAAATTTCATTTCCGTTTTTTCAAGTTTCAAGTGACTGAGATTATTCTTTGGACAGATTCTTTTGTTTAGCTTTGTCTAGGTGTCGTATTTTCATAAGAAATAAATCGTTTTTCGAAAGAAAACTTAGGAAACATAATTGTTGCCGATTTTCCGATTGAATTAAAGAGGATTTCTCAATGCTAATGCATCCAATCGAAATAAATGATTTCCCTATATTTCAGTACAGGTTCTGATAAAAGTTTTAGGCCACATTATTTTTCTCTTCAAAATAATTTTCTTCTTCTGCATCTCACCTAGGCTCTGGAAAAGTACACATTTTAAAATCTAATTCAACCAATCCAACCAATTCAAAACTACTACTATTAAAACACAAAAATATTAAACAGACTGGAAATATTGACTTAACCGTGATATAAAGCATAAGAAAAAAACTTAAAAAAAGAAGAAAGAAGTGCGTGCACACGCAAGTCTCGAAACAACTTAAATTATCTGTTTTATTTCAAGTTCGGTGTGATTTTATTAAAAATATTTACCCACGTAACACACTATTTTTACCAATTCATTATCCTCATATCCAAAGCGCACTCTGAAATTTACGCATTTTCAATCAATAAACCAAAGTTCTCTGTTGTTTTCAATTGCTCATGTTATCGGACTTATATTCGAATAACATTAAATATTTTATGACGTAGCTTCCACTGAATATTCGATAGCCGGACGAAAACCAGCCCACAGCAATTAAATTGCAAATACACAAGGGGAAGAACACTGAAAACAAAAATTAACACGCGCCTTAAAAGCGGTTTGAGCAAACAACTAATGATTCACCAGTTATGGAGGAGAACAGCGTCCAACTGAATTTTGCTAAAAATTCAAGCCAATTAAAATTTGCTTTTCCATTTATTTACTTTTGCATTCTGTGTAGGTTTTGTCCTGAAATTTGAAGTTTTAGAACCCTTTGCGGATTTCACCGTTCGTAGCTGGTTGAATTTGAATGCGTTTCACAATAAGTGCGTGAAAAGAACCAGAATTTAGCAAGACAGTTAGAGTCGAAAAAGTTCGTTTGCTTGCTTGGCAACTTGGGAAACTTATGGCTTGCGAATACTGGGCCATCAATTTTTTTTAAACAGTCCGATACAGCAAACTTTCAAGACACAAATAATTTGAAAAGATCCAGTAGAAAGCGTAGAGGGATCCCAGCTCTCCTTAATATTTAATAATAATTAACGACCCTCCATTTCGCACAAAAAACTCTTATTAATTAATAATGTAAAAAAACTAATTCCGAATTAGAGAAAAAAATTTATTTGCAGAATAATCATCGAAGTGAATAGAAGTTGCGTATGATAAATATTGCGGTAACTTTCGCGAACAATTCAACAGATTTTATATTTTACACAAAAACTATGCATTTCAGTGAAAAACCCAAATACTTTTTTTTCTGGATAGTATCGAATGTTTAATATTCCGGAATTTTGCTGCATTTGTTAACTGTAGCAGTTAAAATTTGTTTGTGCAATCACTACAGTTAAGTCGATTGAAGAATTCGAATTATTAATCTTTCTATTATAAAAACAATTGAATTATTCCCATCATGCATCTAGTTTGGACACGAAATACCTTGGGAATTCGAATCAACATTACCAAAAGTTATGAAAATTGTTATAAACCCATCAGAGATCCTAAATACCCTTCAAGCCTCTAAACGTTGTTATAAAATTTACCATTATTTTGGCTTGGACTAATTGAAATAGTTAGGAAAATATTTGCTTCAACCGCTTCCTTTTCCTAATCAAAAACTTATTAACTAGTTCTATAACTTAGTTAGGTGCAATTCTCAATGGGAGCACTAAATTTGCTTTAAATGGCTAAATGAATTGTCGGTTTCTGACCTACAAATTACGAGTATAGTTTATTTTTATTTTTTTAATTTCACAGCAAAAAAGCGTAAATTCGTCGGCGATAATTTGTCCCCGACTGTTTTTCTCACAACTTCGGCAAGTATTGTCAATCGCGATGTAGAAGCGAACGAAGATTCAAAACAAACAAGAACCGTGCTTTACTTAGTTTAAAAACTAGGTGATTTTTCAGGAATAAGCCAATTTGTTTGCAGAATTTACTGCAAAAATGAGTTTTTAATATAATTTGTTCTCGTAGCGTGCGCAAACCGGTAACGCGTAACGGCAACGATTGCTGTGATCGAAAGCCGAATGGAAAACAATTAGAGAGGTTTGTAGCTGTACAAACTGCTGGACAATATTTTTTGAAATGTAGGGGCAGCAGCTGGTGGAATTAGTTTGAAAATAAAACGAAATTCAGCTTCAGGGAAAATAAAGCAAAATTAAATAAACACCTGTTTCTTTCGTCGGCCCATTTCAGGTTTATTGCGGAAAATACAGAGGCAAAATATCTTTTCATCAAATATATGCCCGGCGTCGGGTAGATTAAATCAAATGAAAATTCTCAACTTTAAATGTGTGTAATTCATTTGACGTGCAACTCAAAAGTGGTCCAATTTAATAAAATCCTTAAACTTTTAACGCGGTTGAATTGCGGTAAACTCGGATTTTCAATATTTGCGTCACCGCAAAAGGCAAATTTCCAGTGCCGAAAAACGTCTGCTTGTTTTAAGAGCAAATATTTAACGAATAAAGTACATTAGCTGAAGCAGTGTTTATTTGCACAGTAAATCGCTGCCCGAGGACACTCCATAAGGTTCATTCTGCACTGTATCTGACACCTTGCACCATATTATTTAACAAATAGCAGACGCCGGTTTGTACTCGTAATACGTTAATGGGTTAAGCTTAAGGCCAACGTTTTATCTGCTTTTTGCTCTTCCAAGGGTTATGAATCATTAATCCAGAAGGGAGTATGTTTTATTCCGCCAAACAAGCTACACTCAGGTGGTTTTCCTCTAATTTACTCACAGTTGATGACGACAATGCATTAAAATCTACTTAACCCGCTGAAATATTTCATATTCCTAAGTTGAGCGTAGGCTTGATAATATTCACTACTAATTTTATCCATTACTCAGACGGTTTAAGATATACTAAATTAATCTTGATCTAATTCCAGTTATTTTATATTAGCAATTCTAATTATTTAAAATGTGTTTAGTGGCGCACTAAACATTTCTGGGAATTGAAAGTAAATTTTAATGGAATTATTAGTTGTTTTCATTAATTGAAACGACGAATTTGCTGCAGCTTGGTTGACATGGACGAAATTAAAATGTAAACGAAAGAATATAAAAAAATACATGTAAAGGTATTTTTATTTCAATTTGAAAATTAGATTTATCTTTTATTTGAAGAATGGCTTTCCTGGAAAGCTATAAGAAAACTTATTGTCAACGATGCAAAAAGTCGACAAATCTCTTGGATTAAAAAATGTTCTACGTAGAACAAAAAACTACACGTTGCTAAACCGGACACGGAATTGAACGTCGTTAGAAACAAGTGATTATTAGACAAGAAACAACTCGTGTGAAATTGGAAGACCGAACTGAGCTAAATAAATTACCGCCAGCACAAACGAGCTAACAGTAAATTAAATCTTCCAGTTATATATCCAGCTCTTTGAAATGTGTCTCCTGTGAAAGTAAAATCGGAGATGTAGGCTCAATCTCGTTACGTGATATTGGCTAACTGCGACATTTTTCTCGTTGATTAATCGCCTTCTTGTTCGTTTTATTCTTGAAAATTAGTCGTACAAAAAAGGCGATTGATAAGATAATCGATTAATGAATGCAACCCATTTGCAGATAACATAAGCACTAACGAGCTTTTTAATATATGAACACATAATAAATCACTCGAAAAACTGAGACCTATTGGACACAAAAGCCTCAACAAGTCAATATAAAAAACCATCAATTTTAATACGTGGTGGCTTTTATTCAGAAAGATGGATTGTTCACCAAGTGTTTTAAGATCGCTCTCATTTACTCCATATCATGACGTGAAAGCAATAACAAGTGTCTGCAACTGCAAATCATTTTTAATGGCTCAATGAGAAATTGATCAGGCTTTCTAATATGAACTCGACAAAGCTTGTTAGATAGGGGCTTTT